CCCGCCATGGCCTGCCTGACATGAAGTGGTGGTCTTCCTGTACCACGGGGATTTTGTTTCACACATTTTTCCGTTGCGCAACCCATCCCAGATCCCTAATCTTTCCTGGAATTTTGGCCTACGGAAATGAGAATTATATATATGCTTAGGTGCAGCTAGTCGATTTTTTTCCCCCCCACCCTGGGACCCCTCTTGGGTCTGGTTGACCACGCCTTTTGGCAGCCATGCCCCCAGGATTTGAGCACTATGTCCAACCAAAATAATTACTTCAAAGATATAAAACAACGGCCCTTATGGTCCTGGCTTCTTTCCCATTCTGGGGAGCGTGCACTCAAGTATGTCCAACCAAAATAATTACTTCAAAGCATACTTGCAAGCGCACGTCGTGCGGGCGGTTCCCGACGTGCGGTGCACGCACCCAACCAATCCCATGTGGTGCACGACATGCGCGGGGAACGACCCCTCACTCCCCTCAGAGCAAAAAGAGAGAAGGCCGGGGTCGAAACAGTGCATTTGAGGGCCCCCGCCAAAATCATAAGCAGGATGGAAAAAAAAATTACAGGAGTGCTGCCTCACCTTGCTCCTCCTCACCTTCCTCATTCTCCATGTCACCTCCTCCCTTCTCCTTTTCGTCTCCTCCAACTCGTCCTCCTCCTGTTTGTCCTCCTCATCCTCCTTGTCTCCTCCTCGTACTTCCTCATCTTCCATGCCTCCTCGTCTCCTTCCCTTCCTCGTGTCCTCCCCTTCCTCGCTCTATGTCTCCTCCTCCCACTCGTCCTCCTCCTACCCTTCCTCTTTTCCCTCCATCCATCTCTTCTCCTCCCCCATCTCAACGGCTCCTCTTTGTCGTCCTTGCTATCCTCGTCGTCCTCCTCCACATCATCATCCTCCTCTCCATATCCCCCGTCCCCCTTCCCAAAAAAAAAGAGAAAATAATAATCATAAAAATAAGACCTGCACGATTCAGCACAGGCACCCCCCGCATGGAACTCCGCACGAATGTGCGGCTCGTGCGGTTGCAAGCATGCTTCAAAGATATTAAACAACGGCCCTTATGATCCTGGTTTCTTTCCCATTCTGGGGAGCGTCAGATAGGAGTTCGTTTTTTAATCAACCCGTTTCAATTTTCTTTTAATCTGTGCATCGGCCAATCCCCTTCCTGGCTTCTTTTCCATTCTGGGGAGAATCAGATAGGAGTTTGTATTTTAATTGCCCTGTTTCAATTTTGCTTTCATCTGTGCATCGGCCAATCCCCCCCCCCACACAACTGTTTAACCGCTCACATATGTCCAACCAAAGTAGGCTTCTGATTGCCCCGTTTCGATTTTCCTTTCATCTGTCCATCGGCTAATCCCTCCCCCCCCCCCCCCCCACAACTGTACAAGCGCTCACGTATGTCCAACTAAAGTAGGCTTCTGACAATGACGCAAAGAAAAGCCTTACCATGTCAATGAATTCCTGCCAAGAATACGCATCCACACCCTGCTCTGCAGCCTTTGATTTCCAAGACGAATCCAGTTCGCCCATGCATATCACAGCTGCGTTCACAGTGATTACGCAGAGTCAGATAGCTGCCAGGATCCCACCCTCAGCATTGCCACACCAAAAAGTCAATCCAGCATTCATCAACTCTCCGTAACATACTGTTATTCACTAAGAATGGCGTGGCCAAAAATTATACCAACAAATCCATGCACGTTTGCCACATAGCCCAACACTGCAGCTACGAAACGCATGCATCCCCATGATAGGGCCAATAGATACATGCATATCAAACCACAAAGAACATAAGACAACAGTACCAGGTATAAGTGAACCAAAGAGTCCGGTGAAATTCACCAGCCACAACAGATCCAATTCCACTGTCCAATCCAGGCTCACGCTCTCCACTGCATGATGCAACCAGACCATGCCAACCCCACAAACTCCACTGGACCATACGGTAAAGATTCTGCTCATGCTTAACAAAGCAGACATTTAAACACCAGCCCCTAAAACGGCTACTAGGGGCAGGTTCGCTCGTGCATGTGTCATGGAGGGACAAAGCTCACTCTTTGACACGCCTCCCTACACCTGTGGGCACAAGGGCAAAACATCAGCGAGACTGAATTACACACCACTCAGGCTATGCGCAGCCTAGACCAGGGGCAACATGTCTGGAGAATCCTGAAAACAACACTTGCTATCAACAAAACACACACAACTGACTTCAATGGATAAAGCAAACCACTACTTACTCACATCAATGGAAAAGTGAAAAACTACTTATCACCCACCTCATTGTGCTGAATACTACAGTGAAGAGTACATATGAAGAACCATTGGCTGAGTTCAAATCCTGATGGACTCAGGTACAAAAAGGGGTAGCCAGTTTAATTTTAGGAAAGAAGAAACAGAAAAACAGAAAAATGGGCCTCAACTGGTAGAGGTGTCTCAGCCAATCTGAACACATGTCTTTTGAGAACGAAGGATCCTCACTGGTCATCTACCCTCACAACACGCCCCTCCACATAAGAACCCTCTTCACATTAACATTTCATTTTTATGTACTCTGTTAAAAATGTCGACTTAAACTAAATACACTGTAAATAGAAGAGCCAGGAAACGAAACACCTACAGAAAAAGAACTACCAACTCAAAACTAGAGAAGATGTACCTTCTGGAGTATCATATTTCCCCGACTCTGAGACAAAGCTACACAGCTTGACTTATACATTTTATTTGAATATTTATTTTCCCTCTTTCCAACATGAAACATGCATCACTGGGGCAGATTACACAAAAATGAAAATTCTTACAACAGTCGGGGAAATGACTAGCTCAGTTTCCATCTTCCACTCACATTTCAGACTGCCTCCGCATTTTGGAATGACATCCAAAAACTGTGAAAGGCACCAGCAACACAGTAGAACAAAAAAACAACGGATTTGAAATGTAAGGAAGCCTACAAAAAGAGAAACAAAAGGACAGAAGTCCTGCTTGCCTGCAGACGCATCAAACAACAACTCAGTTAAATCATAAAAAGGACGGCCGGCAAGACGAATAAAATGGGATAAAATGGCAGAACCGAAATTTCTTCACCTATTTCCCTCCTTGCTTGTTCCTTATTATTCCCCTTCTCCAACTCAAATGGATTGAATCAATTTGAACGACATTACGGGATTGATAGGCTGCCACTTTACAAGTGTAAATTGAATTCTCCGTGACGATGCGGAGTACTTTATTCTCCGTGATAACCTCTATGACCATCCATTATAATTTCTCGGCCGCAAGGTTCCCCACAGTTGTTTTTAAGTGGGAATTGCTCACATGCCGATCTGAAATAACTATGCAGTTGCCACCCATGGAGTGGGGCAGGCATACAAAGGATGGAATGGATGACGACAGGGCAAACCAGCTCGGGAACTTGTGGTGCTACAGTCACCCAACGGCTGCCATTGGCCATACCCACGAAAAAATCAGCATACCCACAAAACAATCAGCATACCCACAAAAATAGCATGCTCGTTGCACGCCATAACAACCATAGCGTCCTTGGCCACAAACAGCATCCTCTCCAGTCAGAGGGGCCTTCGTAGAATTTCCTCAAATGATCTGTCAATTCACAACCAGACGACTACAAGGTACTGATTTACAACATAGGAAGAAAAGTAGCAGACAGCATGAGCACACTGAAACCAGTCCTGTTCACTTCTTCGGTACAGGTCTATCTTTTTCTTGTTCTTGGTGGGGACAGTTTCTGTTTTATTTCCTGTTTCACCTCTCCCTTGACTGTGCCTCTCAGGTCTAAGGACTGTCACGATGGTGTAGTTCGCCACAAGGCACCTACACCCATGTCCAATAACAGCAAGAGAGAGAGTAGAGGTAGACAGGGTAAGAGGAGACAGAAAGGAAAGATGTGGTGAAGAAAGAAAAGGGAGTTAGGAAGGCTACATATAAGTCACATAAACATCTCGAATGATCAGAAGAACTCAATATCTTTCGGTTCATAAGATGGTCACCGGATCAATGACATCTCACCCCCTACAATGGTTCTTGTGAGACTCGCACACAGAATGCCAATAACTATCAAACACCAGCGCCACATGTATTCAGCTCATCACCTCCAGTTTCCCCCTCCAATCCCCATGCCAAGATCAGAGGGAACGCCACTTCTCATTGAAATGATTTCCAGGACAGCCACGCTCATGGGGTATCACCAGCCCTCACGGATTAGGTTTGCCTTACAGGCGATCGGTGCCACTGCCGGCTTCACCCGAATAGAACGCCCGGTCATTACAGACGTATGCGGTGCAACTTTCAGTATAGATACAGCAATAATGACTGGGCATTCTATTCGGGTGAAAACAGTAGGCGGATGTTCACAAGAAATCCAGTTTGTTTCACAAAGGGTCAGCCATCTGAGACCGTCTACAATAACTTTCAGGCAGCCCCTTGTGCCATCCACATGGTTACACAAACAGTGTACAAGCAGCATAAGAAGAACTCTTACATTTCAGTTGACAGAAACTCACCACAGGCATCTTAATCTTCTGCACGACTGCCGTGGTCACACCAGCATGATTAATGATGAACTGAACTGCATCCGGACCTGTGCAAACACAAACACCACAAGACCCACCAGGATTGGAAGGCGACTGAGAAGCTAAGAACACGCACTCAGTAAGGGCTGGTACGCCAGAACAAGCCAGAAGTAACTCACACAATACAGAAAATTTCTCAACCAGACCCTCCCTCTCCAAGGTGTCCAAAACATGTAGGAATATGTGCAAGCACCCACGGTTTTGCGGCCGCCCGTGAGTTGTACCATAAATATTTCAGTTCTGTTGGTTTGGACAACTGCCCTTTCTGCGATTTCCGCTGCCAGGACACGATAAAATTATTTTGCCAGACACCAAGAATATTGTAATGAACCCAGTCTCTTTGAGCAGCCAGTCAGCAATGCAAGAGAAGTCTTGAACCCAGTGCACCTCGTTAAGTCTCCGAAATCAATTACAAGTCCATGTCTCGATCATATGCACAATTCAGGAGCACCGTCTCATTAAGAGAAGAGAAAGACTCTCTCCCACTTCCACTTCAGGCTTCTCCCCTATCACCACCTCAGCAATGCATGTTCCCACTGTCGTCCTCTATCATAATCGCTGTGCAGATCATTACAGAGCGCCATTCCTCCTTCCACATCAGCAATAAGATGTGGAGGATGGCGCAGCAATTCCTCACCTTCGTGGAGACAAGCAGCAGTTCAGACGCACCAGGTAAGTCCAGATAAGTTCTCCTCATCTCCCATCAGTCCCACAGCCCTGATCCTCCTCCCTGCCAATCCCCATCACCTAGTCTGCAGCTATGGTGGCTAGGCCGTGCCAACATAAACCTCCCTCTAAGCTGGCACCCACCAGCAACATCTGGTGCCAGCATCACACTCCAGCTGCCTTGCATACCAGCACTAGCATCAAGTAAGCACAAGGTAGAATGCCTTCCACTGTGGTCTGGCTGACCTTATCTCCTCCTTCCCATCAATCCCCATCACCTAGTCTACAGCTATGGCAGCCATGGCCGTGCCAACATAAATCTCCCTCTAAACTGGTGCCCACCAGCAACATCTGGTGCCAGCATCACACTCCAGCAGCCTTGAATACCAGCACTACCTCCTTAACCCGAAAAAAGCGTACGTACGTTGTATACGAATACAACGTAGGGAGTCCGCTGTGTTCGAATACAACGTACGTACGTTATACAACGAGTTCTAGGGTACAACTTTTCCGAAGCCTATAGTACCACTACTGTTTTTTTTTAATCTCAAATTCGGCTAGGAATTTCGCCAGGACCCTCAGGCAAAAGTTGTTTGGATTTCTTAAAAGTTTTTTGAAAATCGAAGTTCTGAAAAAAGCAGTGAAAGGAAGGTCCCTGCCGTAAAAAATATTTTTATCCTCGTTTTTCCCCCCTTTGAATTTGGTTGTGAATTTCGCCAAGACCCTCAGGCAAAAGTTGTTTGTATTGCAATGTTGTACAACATTTTTTTTGTCGGATTTTTCTGAATATTTTAAAAAAAGAAAAATTGCAAAAACTTGAATACATGTGTACGACTTATACGCTGTATTTGCCCATACGTTCTATTCGGAAAAAAGAAAGAGCGATTTCTAAAAGTCTGATTTTCAAAGGTAATTCGAACGTACGTACGTTTCTTTCCGGTTAAGAAGGTAGAATGAAGTCGGCGCAAGGCAGAATGCCTTCCCCAGTGGTCTGGCTGACCTCATGTAACATTGACCAGCATTGACTGGGGTGGACCAGTCTCCCCTTGGACCGTGTCGACACTTCAGATTTTCCAGATCTTGACGGCAAGGATGCAGCGTGAAGCAGCGGTACCTTTTCCCAGTCAGGACTGGAATCTTCTGGCTACCTGAAGACAACCATTGATGTGCATCTGATCTATGGCCAAGGCTGACTACGGGGTTCACTTTGACTTTGGGCCTGCCTTTCCCATGCTGGGTCGAAGAGAATGCACTTGAGCTCATTTGACAACCGCATGAGAGACGCGTGCACTTGTGCCGGCTTGCAGCTGCGGGTACTGAGCTATGGTGAGGGAGCAGCACTGGCCAACCAGGGGCAATGAAGTCAGAAGACCAGTTACTGAACATTGACAGGCTGGAGGCAATGCTGTAGTAGAAGAGGGGAGAGAAAAACTGGGATGCTGTTCTTCGAGGCGGTTTCTCTGCTTTTGATTCTTGGTGTGCCAGTGAATCGTGTATGAGATTTGAGAAGAGAGTGGAGAAAATAGGTGATGGGCCACCAAGGCAGTATAGCCTGTTTCCAATGCCAGCAGTCATCAGTATACTACGTTCCAACACACAAAGGGCAGGCCAAGATCCCAAAGAAGATGCGCAAAACCAGTTAATCCAGCAGGATAACCTCTAAAGAATACGCAATTCAACCACACACTAAGCTGTTCATTTGCACAGGTACAACCACACACTCACCGAGCGAGTCATACAGAGGCACGCCTATTAAGTTCTGCCTGGAAACTGCCTGCCAAGGGCACAAACCAACAAGAAACGAAAACGCATGAGCATGACAACTGTCTCAAGAGCAAATTCAGACCAAACTGACTCTCGTCATCTAGACCAGACAACAAAACAATTGGGGCGGGAGGGGGGNGGGGGGGGGAAAGAAACACAAAGCACTCCCAATGTTGTCAAAAACTGTGCTGGATCATGTCATCTTAATTGACATTCTCACTCATACAAGACTGAATAATGTAATAGGAATTGACGTGCTTACTCACACTACCCCAATCACCCTCCCTCATGAAGATGCTGAAGCACAGTAAACCTCAGGTAGATTTCTTTTCCACAGAGACATTTAGAGCCAGCGTGACAATTAAAGGACAAGGAAATAGAAAACACCACCAGCCTGTGATGGAAGGCCAGTGAAATCCTGCCATCAATTTTTACTAACTTAACTTAGTTTCCAACACACGACCTGGCACGTGTGACTTCATACAACCACAGCTTGTAGCCAATCGCATGAACAAGCTGCACCTGCACACCGTACCAGCATGCCCCCAAGATCCCCCCTCTCTCTCTCTCTCTCTCTCTCTCTCTCTCTCTCTCACACACACACACACACACACACACACAGTCATGACGAAGGGGTTTGTGTCCAAGGAAGAAGCCAAGGCAGCTCTCCGTAGCACTTCAGTTCATGCTGGCTAGACATCAACCACAGTACAAGGACGCTCTGACCAGGTCTGCAGGACAACACAGAATACCCCTGAAGAAACTCTGATACAATGTCCAAGTCCACTACCAACTCAAATCGCACAGCCTAGACCTGCATACGAACTGGTCATCCCGCAGTTCACAAGAGGTAATAAGCCACTACAACTTTTGACATGCACATTGGAGACATCCACAAACATATTTTAGAGGCATACCTCCTACACGCTTTCAGCAGTCGCACTCAGAAAGCGCACTCAAAGAAGCGCACTCAAAGACGGGTATACAAGTCAATATGGGTCCACCACTGCCTCATGTAAATCAACAACTGCATGAAGTAAATCAATAAGCAAATCAGCATTTCCTTCACATCTATGTGATTTTATCCTCTTACCTCCATTGCCATAACCCATTCCGGTGAATTCGCTCCATAGATTCCAATTGTTTGCCCCTGAAGAAAAGAAAAGACAAAAAGTGGGAAGCAAAATTAGGACGACAACTCAAAATATGGAAGGCTCCAAGTAATTGACGGAATGTGGGCTGCATTCTGTCAAGAAAAGACAAAAAGTGGGAAGCAAAATTAGGACGACGACTCAAAATATGGAAGGCTCCAAGTAATTGACGGAATGTGGGCTGCATTCTGTCACTTTTCTTAGAGCTAAAAACAAATCAAACATGCGTAGTTAGCAGGATGCCTTTATCAACGGCCAGGATTTCAATATAATTTGAATGACAGCGCCTACTCATTTGGCATACTTAGGCAAGGTTTGGTTGGGTTGTATAAGAAGATTAGATCCAGGAACAGACCTCTTCCACAGCATCCGGACCACCAAATCACAGCCCATTAAGGCCCAAACTCAGACCCGGACCCCAAAATCACAGCCCATTAAGGTACAGGAACCAGGGAAACCGATGGACGCATACACAAGTACATCCCGACTCTCAGCCACTCTCCTGTGTACCGAAGGTGCATAATTCTGTCAATTTGGGAGGGAGTGGTACCTGTCACCAACCCCTATTAACACAACAAACTGCCAAAATTAACAGGGAGTAACCAACCCCTATTAACAGAATGAAACCGTCAAAATCAATAGGGGGTAGTGACTGCACCAGTACCTATGGACATGAGGAAGCCATTCACACAATGACATATTGCCCCCCACTAGGTCTCCACACAATGACATATTGCCAGGCATCATATAAACCCCCAATAAAAATTCACCACCTCTGCCTCGCGTCCATGTCTCTCAAATCACCCTCACCTGTACCACCATTCAAGAATCTCCAAGGCTGCAGTACTGCAGATAAACTGGGGGAAATTCATTCCAAGCATCCAGCAGGCCAAAGCAACCTGAGTCTTTGCAGCGAGTTCTTCACTACGAGTATCTTCAACGGCGTTGAATAAGTTGTGTCCGTCTCATTCCCATTCGCTTTTTCGGACCCTTGCAGAATGAATTTCTGAAGTAAGTGTTAGAGAACAGCATGACAGACATGCCAGCAAGAGTGAACGTTGGAAAAAGGAAAGATGTTACGCAACCCACAGGCACACAGGTCACACAATACCACTTACTGATTTCTTCCCAATGTGAATAAAGGCCGAGCCGACAGCATCCACAATGGCTTTCGCCTCCTTGTATGTCTTCCACACATATGGTTGAGCCTGCATAATCATCCCACATGCACCCATTCCTCTGAATCAATGCAATTTTCATACAGTGACCATCACGCACAGATAACTTGAACAGCTACTGGGGGAAGCCAGAGGACCAGTCTGCACCCCAACCTTGCCCCAACTCCCAACGAGTCAGTTCGACTCTCACAAGACCACTTTTTCGACTGATCTATAGAGGTGATAGTGGTCAAAGATACATTGAGGACAACCAGTAACTGCAATCAAATGCATCCATGGAAGTCCTGGTGTGAGATGATCCAAGCTTGAGTATGCCAGCTCCTTTAAACCACTCAGGTCAGCCAGCAGTGTACCCACCCCTCCCAGGTAGGTCATACTAATATTATTAAAACCTTTCCCAGCTCGTCTGCCTCCAAGGTCAATGCGACAGAAGATATTTCCCTTACATAAAATCTTCCTCCATATCCACCTCTCACAGAACCAAAAGGAGCGCAGGTCCTCTTGTGATGTAACCCATGCCCCCTTGGAAAAATCGGTAGAGGCCCCGAAAAAAGAACTACAGCAGGCCGTGCTTGAAAAAAAAAAAAAACACTTCAAAGAAGGGTGGGGTTGTGTCTTGTAGGTCTTCTGCAGTGCCGCATCTTCCCCTGCCTTTGTGCTTCGCCATCGACATTCTCCTTCGCCCAATGCTGGAGCCACCGTGGCCACCCGTTAGTGCTTCGTCATCGACATTCTCCTTCACCCAATGCTGGAGCCACGAGCCACCACCTATGGCTGCCGAGCTGACCACCACCTCTCTTCTACATCTTACCTTTCACAATCCTCGTCTTCTTCTCCTCTTGAAATCCCCCCACTTCGTCCTTCCTGTTCTCCTCTCCTCCTCTTATTGAAGACTGATATACCAGTGGCAGCAAATTGCAAAGGATTTATTTAGCATCCTACCCTCCTCGCTCCTCTCCTGAGTACCCTCCTGGTCGCCGTCCTGTCCTCCACCTCCTCTCCCCCTCCTCTCTCTTCCCCTTATTGATATATATGAGTAAGAGCAATGCTGGAAAATCATGAACTCTTCTTGCTACACCCCAGAAGCGAAAAAAGGACGGGGTTCCAACACTACTCCACACACAAAAGTGCACTGCACGAGGACCAGTTGCACCACAATGCAAGACACACAGCGGACCGCACTGCACGCTTGCAAGTAAGGTTATATCCTGTGGCAAAAACACCAAGCAGCTTACTTTTTCTTGTACTTTTTTTCGGAACTGATGATTTTCACACTAAACATGCAGACTGGTTGAGTGCCCCAAGTGAGAAAACAGAATTAACCACAAAAACTTAGCGGAAATTCCATGTTTCGCCCCTCAAAGTTGGCCGAAATCCTCAATTCCCCAAACAGCCGCGGGTAGAGTGGCACGTCCGTTCATGGTTCTGCCGTTGCGTAATACGGTAATACCCTATCAGAGGACTGGCTGCACAATTTTGTGCCCTATCAGAGGGCTGGCTGCACACTTTAGTGCCCTGCCCCTGTGCCCCAGACACGCAAGCCTGCAACATTCCTCACCCGGTGGGGCCCAGTACAGGTTATGGAACTTTGCAGAATACCCAGAGCCATTTATTCAGGCAGCCTGCACCGCCATGCATTTGACTGATTCAAATCTTATTTATCTTGCGTCATTCATTTCCACATGCCTGCACCACCATGCATTTGACTGCCCAGGTGCAGTTTTTAGCAACCAGATAGCCAGTTTGAATCGTGATGGGCTTAGGTGAATGCTGCTAATGGGCGGCACAGAGAAGACTTGGTAATGATCAGGCACAGGATTAACTACTGCTTTAAAAAAAGGACAAAACTGTAGAACCCGTCTTGATTGGTACCCCCTTTCAATCCTGACAAATGCTTACAGGTGTGTGACCTTGCAAAAGGCCAATGCTGTCTGTTCTGTGATACAGCAGTGTTCCAGGCAGGTGATCCCTTGTCGTCCTGGCGAAGCCANCCCTGACAATTACAGGTGTGTGACCTTGCAAAAGGCCAATGCTGTCTGTTCTGTGATACAGCAGTGTTCCAGGCAGGTGATCCCTTGTCGTCCTGCCCATACCCATCGCATCACTCCAGGAGGTACAGCCCATACCCATCGTATCACTCCAGGAGGTACAGCCCATACCCATCGTATCACTCCAGGAGGTACAAATCAAGGGCTACTAAGTATACAAAAGGGGTTCAATTCAGGTCAGAAACAAGTCGAGTCATGCGAGAGAGAATTAGAGAGAGGCATTACACAGATGCAGAATGCACCATACACCAGACCGAAGCGAGGGGTACAGATCTAGCAAGTACCAGAAAAACTTAGTGCATTTGGTGCCTGATTTCCGCCGTGTAGCTTCGCAAGTTCTGACCGAAAACTCATGCTCATCTTACAGATGTGGTGACTGATCGACAAAAAAAAAAATAATAATAATAATAATAATAATAAATTTGGCCGTGTATCTTTTCATGTTCTAACTTCTAACGGAAGATTCATTCTCAGTTTGCACATCTGGTGACCGATGGAAGAGGCAGCCCGAAGGGCCGAAGTCATCCCAAACTCACCTGACCGTCAAGATTAGGGCGATGGCCCAGCAGCTCGTTGTCTGGAAACTTCTCACAAGACGACCTGCAGATATCATTTTGGCCACCAAAACAAATAAAAAATAGAAAAACGATACATCAGCTTGTTTACACAAAACAAAAGAACAAAAAGCTACGGAACGAGCACTTCATCCACAAAACTGACCGAGCCATAGCTCGACCTTTTGCCCCCAACCGCAACACCCGGTCATTATAGCTGTTTCTTGTGCAACTTTCCGGCCAGGTACGGCCAGGTACCAATATAACGACCGGCATTGTAAATGTCAGTACCTACCTCATTATTCCCTAAATAATAGACATGCTCCAATGTAGCATCTACCTTCTAGTTTTCTTCTCCCCCCCCCCCCCCCCCCCCCCCCCCCCCCCCCCCCCCGCCCCCTCCCCCTCTTTCCCCCTCCAATCTGACAAGTTTCGCCCAGTTAACTCTCATCTCAGAGGCAGCGAAATTCTTCAATCAGGTGGTTCTTTGATAAAACCGTGATTGGCTTGGGGAAACAAATCAATTAAACAACCGATCAGCCACTTACGTCAATCACAGGCAATCAAGCAATCAAGCAATCAATCAAAAGCAATCAAGCAATCAATTCATCAATCAGAAGTAATCAATTCATCAATCAATTCATCAATCAATTCATCAATCAGAAGCAGTCAACCAATCAGTCCGCACAATAAGAATCAATCCGTGGTTCTTCAATCAGAAGCAATGCCGTGATTGGCTTGTGGAAACGAATCAATTAAACAGCCAATCAGCCACTTACGCCAATCACAGGCAATCAAGCCATCAATTCATCAATCAAAAGCAATCAAGCAATCACTCAGTATAGAAGTGCAGAATCAAATCAATTAAACACCCGATCGGGCAGTAACTACAACAGGGTTTCTTCCTGTCACTGAGGTTCCTTCCCACGGCAGTGATTGATAGATTGATTCCTTTCGATTGATGAATTGATTGCCTGATTGCCTGTGATTGATTTCAGTGACTGATCGGGTGTTTTAATTGATTCGTTTCCTCAAGCCAATCACGGGTTCTTCCCCTGATTGACTTAAGTGACTCGCTGAGGTTTCTTCCCAAGTCGCTTCAAGCACTCAATTCATCAATCGAAAACAATCAAGCAATCAATCAGTACGAGGCATTCATTTCAACAACGCCTGCTTAGGTGATTAATCAGACAGCCCGCTGAGATTTACAGAGGTTGAGCCAGTTATGGCAAATTGGAGTAACTTTCCGATCAAAGCGTCCTACAATTACACGTGTTTTATATTATATAATCTTACGTTATCATACGCTGTTCGCTATACTTCTGTGGTAAGGTCCAAGATATGGGGCGGATACTGACCATGTGGGAGTCGATTACCCATCTATTGATTGGGGGACAGGTGACTACACAACAAATTACTAAGTTTCATCCCAACTACCTACTTTCACAATCTCAGTGCTACTCACCATGCAAACACAAATCATCAACCGACCACACCGCCAACCATGAAATGCTCGCAACACCCAATCAATCAATCAGTCAATAAATTCATCAATTCAATTAATCAAGAAAACCTCAAATCACGATAACGCACCATGCAAACACTAATCATCAACCGACCTCAATGCCAATCATTTATTGCTCTTAACACCCAATCAATCAATCAATCAATCAATCAATCAATCTATCTATCAATCAATCAATCAACCACTAATCATCAACCGACCCCAATGCCAATCATGTATTGCTCTTCACACCCAATCAATCAATCAATCAATCAATCAATCAATCAATCAATCTATCTATCTATCAATCACTCTATCAATCACTCTATCAATCCAATCATCAATTCAATCAATCAAGAAAATAAACTCAATCATCAAGTCAATCAATCAAAAAAACCGCAAGTCCACGATCTCCGGACAACTAAGATATGATCTCCTAGATGCACCACCGCATTCGCTCACACAGCAGTCACGGTGTACTCGAACCTCCGCACGTTTCCCGCTCATTTCCAACCAAGAAAATCTTTTTCAAACGCTCTTTTTTCCTTAACTCGTATATATACGAACACAAGATTTCGAGTTTTAACCGACATTTGTGGAGTTGATTATCCTTCTCATGGCCACATGCCCTAGCCCGTACAGTTCCGGCAGCGAACGGCTGGCTGATTACAAAGAGAGACAATTGGACAAAGACAAACCGCGCAGACGAATGGTCGTTCGTACAAGAGCTCAGACACGGCATGAGAGTCGTACAAGAGCTCGGGCACGGCATGAGAGTCGCCAGAGCCATGAACAGATCGAAAAATGTACCATTGAAAGACTCCTGCAAACCAGGATTAGGGTTGAGGTCCCTACACGCCAATACATTCCTGAACTAAATGAGCAAGAGAGACGACGATAACGTGATTTCTTTAAATCGTATCATGAGTAAAGAAGTGCTCAACTATCACAGCATACCCCTGTTCCCTCTGCTATCGTATCATGGGACAGCATCTCACGTGAAAATGAAAATTCGTCCAATTTACAGATTTCAGTCAGGAAAAAAAAACAGGATACCACTTCGCGTTGAGAGAACACAGTTTTTTTTTTCACCCCACCGAACAGCTTCCAAATGGAACCGAGAGAAAAGAAACGCGCGACAACTCCTAGACAAGTCGAAAGAAACGGGAAATAACACCAAAAAAAAAGCTGGGAAAATAGCTCACACATAGGTATAAGCAACAACGGAGATCAACCACAACGAATACACTGCTAGACCACTTTCTCCTGCGTTATAGGAGAACGCCTCGGGGGAATATGGTCAGGCATGTCGGAGTCTTGGTCAACCGATCTTCGCTGATTTGCCGCCAAACTTCACTGACTTGCCGCCAAAACTTCACTGCCTTAACACCAGAACTTGCCGCCAAACTTCACTGACTTGCCGCCAAAACTTCACTGCCGTAACACCAGAACTTGCCGCCAAACTTCACTGACTTGCCGCCAAAACTTCACTGCCCTAACACCAGAACTTGCCGCCAAACTTCACTGACTTGCCGCCAAAACTTCACTGCCTTAACACCAAAACTCCACTGACTTGCCGCCAAAACTTCACTGAACTGACTTGCCGCCAAAACTTCACTGAACTGACTTGCCGCCAAAACTTCACTGACTCGCCGCCAAAACCTCATTGACTTGCCGCCAAAACCTCACTGACTTGCCGCTAACACCTCGCTGGCTCGCAGCCAAAACTTCACTGACTTGCCGCCAAAACCTGGCACGATCCTGACCAACCCGGGCAGCTTCAGGGAGACGGGGCTCGTACACACTACTCTGCAAGTTCAGGCAGCGAGTCAAATCAGGAGGCTCGAGAATCTTTGGAAGAAAGATCGCAGTATCACAACCCGCGGCAACTACACAACTCTTCTACATGCAAGTCACAAAAAAAAGAAGGAAAAAAAAAAAAACATTGCAAGTGCGACCACCTACGCAGTACACGCTTCACCTGATGACAGACCTCATCCATTCATTGGCACGGCCTGACAGAGGATTCCCCCCCTTCACCTCTCCCTCCTGAAATCGTCGCCGACGAGATCGATGACCTACTCAACACACCACCACCACTTGCACCATTCACCAATCAAGCTACAGGTGCTTAGAAGACTAATACGTATTACAGTAGTGTTGGCTGAAGTAAAAACCAGAAAACTAGTAGAGAAGATAGCCATTGTACTGACTAAATCTCCATAGTACTCAACAAGTTGGGTCTTATGTCGATCACAGAAACCACCTACACATGAAAACAGAAGTACTGAAGTAAAAACCAGAAAAATAGTAGAGAAGATAGCCATTGTACTGACTAATTCTCCATAGTACTCAACAAGTTGGATCTTATGTCGATCACAGAAACCACCTACACATGAAAAAAGAAGTTCACAAACACCAACGGGCCTAGCCCAGTTGCCACACCCATGAACTGTCGAAATCCAGACCCAAGTTCAAATCCAGATACAATCTGATAGCAAAAATAAAATCATTCTGAACTACCCGGGGCGGGTCAGTCCACTGATGATATCTCAAGGCCGTCGCCCTTTCATAAGAAGGGGGGAAGGAGGGGGGGGGGGGGGGGAGAAGTACAGAAACCAGTACATGACTTCACGGGCAAAATACGACCTTGAAGGCGTTCGCTTCGCATACGCCCTTAATTGCCGTCAGACATGGGCAGACCACACCACACCACCCACCGCTCCATGGCACACCCATCATGTTAATGGACCCCGCCTAATCGGCTTATGTCGCTTCCTGGCAAGACCAGGTCTCCTTAACGGCATCAGGTTACGGGGAGAAGGGGGAGAAGTGGGAGGGGGGGGAGGGGTCGACCACGATACACACTACCGTCTTCACCCAAATAACGCCCGGTCATTATCGCTGCATCTACACTGAGAGTTGGCCCGAATACAACTATAATGCCCGGACGTTCTATTCCGGTGAAGAATGAGACAGAAAGCGAAAGAATCAGAAGCTACATCGTGTGTGATAGCCTAAACTAGCGCGTTTTTTTTTTTTCAGGATGAGGACAGTGGATAAATAGACGAGTCGTGTTCTCCATACAAAGCATTACGACTGCAAGCTCGACGAGCAGATGCATTCTTCGCGACTGATAAAAACCCTTTTCAAGTCCAGCAACACGAACGGAATATGATTTCCTCTAAGGCAGCAGAAGTGTCAATTGCAGTCCACGACAGTCCATCCACAAACACCCATCATCCACAAACACCCATCATTTCCCCGGGTTCAAATCTCTCTCTCTCTCTCTCTCTCTCTCTCTCTCTCTCTCTCTCTCTCTCTCTCTCTCTCTCGCTCGCTCGCTCGCTCGCACATACGAACCGTGGAATAGCATCTCTTGCCTAAACCCCCCCATCCACAAAAACCTACATTGGCCGTATGCATCCATCTCGGCGCGCATTCGACCACATCGGCCATGGATCAAATCATATTCGCCTCGCTCCACCCATCCACCACCATCTACCCTAGACCTAATCCCTGATCTGCCTGGCCTATCAACTTATGTGCACGGACGCCCAAACATCCACCTTTACATCGCTCACGGACCACATACATCCACGGGAGATGTTTCACAATCTAGGCCCCTACAGAGCCGACGAGGTCGATATATCCTGGCTGCCTCGGGGCATAGCAAGATGCCATTTTACTGCTATACTACACATTAAACTGCTTCCGCCCTGCCCGAAAACAGTAAAAACTATATACGAGTGGCTGCGTCCCTATTCTGCCATAGGGCAGCATCGCTGCACTGCTCAGCAAAATATAGTGGTCTGTGACGACAGCGGCTGTACCTGCGGCTAGAAGGTGGACATGTGCGCACCGCTATAATTTTCCCTTCTTCACAATTGTCGAACGGTGTGGAGACGATAGCGCGCAAGGTGTCAACGCATAGATAATGACCGTATTTGGGGCAACTTTCAGACCAGATGCATCGATATTTACCGTCATCGAATAGAACGCCAGGTCATTATAGCTGTATTTGGGCCACTCTCAGACCAGATGCATCGATAATGACCGTACGTCGTATTCGGCTGAAGACGGTAACACGCAAGGTGCAAACGCACAAGCCCGGTCACAACTTTACCATCTTCACCCGCCCGTTGATTATAGCTATATTATAGCCTACATATATATTGTCACACTATATATTGTCACACTAAATCATATTAAATATATATCTATATATCGTCACAAATTTATCAGAGCGCAAATGCGAAAAAAAGAAATAAATTCATTTTTTATCTTCTTCCTTACAAGACTCCCCCTGTTCAAAACCTCTTGCGTATTAACGCTTATTGGTGGGGGAGGCCGAATGCAACTACAATGACCGGGCGTTCTATTCTGGTGAAGAAGACGGAAGGCACTCGAGTTGAGAACGCAAGCACTACCTGTCGGCATTTATCTCATGTACTCCTTTCCAGTTTTTGACACGCGCAGCGCGATTGCGGGAGACAAAAAGAAGCTACAGCTCGCCTGATAGCAGCCTGCGTTTTCCGCTTTCCGATGACATTTCCTACCGTCATCCAGTCGTCATGGCGGCACGAGTTGCCACGTCGTCATGGCGGGTGCATTACTGAATTTCGAAACTCACGATAAGCAAGTACTAATCGGTTCCACAAAGCTGTACAGGAGAGTTGGTGCTACTACAACAGGGATTTTCGCTAACTACTAGAGACGGTCATGAACAACACATGATGGCAGTCCAGCTACACTGCGCTCGTATTTCACAGTGTGAAAGCAACAATTATCCCTTCGGGCATTTAACTCTTTGAGGTTCCTGGCCGCAATTTCGCGGTCCTTTGAACCGAAATCGCCAGGGCTTACCGGGCGGGTTCCCGCCTGCAGGTCCCGACGATTTCGGTTCAAAAGACGCCGAAATTGCGGCCAGGAAAACCTGAGTTGAATGCCCAAAAGAGTAGTAGTAATCTACCCAACATCCCGCTCGTCAAGCGGTGAGAGCGTCCGCTCGTCAAGCGGTGAGAGCGAGATAGTCAAGCGGTGAGAGCGAAATAGTCTATCCCTGATCAATTGCCCCGTTGCATAAGCACATGGTCATCCATCAGTGAACAAAACTATTTCCCTCGGTGTGTCTCGCCGCTTTCTTACCATGTCATTAATGGAACAAGCGAGAAGCGTTGAGTAGAGTACTTTTTCCCTCGGTGTGTCTTGCCGCTCTCTTTCAATGTCATTAATGAAACAAGCGAGAAACGGTGGGAGCGAAATAGTCTATCCCTGATCAATTGCCCCGTTGCATGCTTTCATGGCCATACATCAGTGAACAAAACTTTTTCCCTCGGTGTGTCTTGCCGCTTTCTTTCCATTCCATGTCATTAATGGAACAAGTGAAAAGCGTTGAGTAGAGTACTTTTTCCCTCGGTGTGTCTTGCCGCCTTCTTTCCATTCCATGTCATTATTGAAACAAGTGAGAGTGAAGTCTCTCGTGGATGCCGACGGGCCTAGCTCAGTTGGTAAACCCTTGAACTGTTGAAATGTAGACCAACTGAATCCAGACGAGTTCGAATCTAGATGCAGTCAGACTAACAAAAACAACATACAATCTAGGGCCGGTCAGTTCAATGATGATATCTCAAGAACGTCGCCCTTTACTTTAAAAGAAAGAAGAAAAAGAAAAAAAAAGGTCTTGTGGATGCCAAACAGCTCGAATCTAGATGCAGTCAGA